ATATAAGGCCAGGGGTCTACAACACATCGCGCTCGATAGCGGCGTTCGTGACAAGCCCCGCCAGAAAAGTCCAACGCGTCATGCGATCGTAGTGCATGCACGCCCCACACTCCCGATCGCATCTTATCCTACACCGCAGCCGATCTGGAATCTCACGTGCTTGTAGCGGTACCGGGCGCGGCACCACCCCGTCGGCTCTGACGTCCGGCCCGGCCACAGCGGCCTGCTGGCCCTTCGGCCGTGCAGTGGCGGGCGCGTGGGAATACGTCGGCGCGCCGCTGCCGCCGGCCGCCGCCCGGTCAGACTGAGGGTGGCGTCACCGGGGACGGGAGGGTGGGTGGCGGCGCCCGGCCCGGCTGTCCAGAGCCGGGAGGCGGCTCCGTGGGGCTGGGACGGGGGCTGCGCCGGAACAGGGCCGGGCTGGAACAGAGGCTGGGCTGGAACAGATGCCGAACTGGAACACCGCGCCAACATGCGTCCGCCACCCATATCGAGTTCAAGTCTCCCGACACCTCTCGTATCGAGTTCACGTCTCCCGACATCCTTCCCTGGATCCCTCAGCCCCTCCCCTCCTTTCGCGGTCCCCACCAGCGCCAGCGGCAGCGGCGGCGCGCGGCGGGATGCCCCGGGCGCCAGCGGCGGTCACCCGGGCCGGCCGGACCCGGGCGCCGGCGCCGGAGGGTCGGTGTGGGGTTACAGGCGTCACGTGATCCGCCCTCGATGCAGCCGACTGCAGCGCGGATCTGGTGGCCGCGCGTCGGCCGGCCGACTGACACGATCGGGCAGGGCTCGCTCTCTGGGCCGGAGCGAACCGATTGGGGCGAGCGCCGGCCGGTGTCGGGTCTGGGCGCGGCGTCATGCCTCCGAAGCACCTGCACCCTCTGGTCTGATCACACGCGTCTGACGTTTCCACCCGCTCTCCTGCAGTCTCGGAGGCCTCTGCGGTCTCTGAGGATGCGCAGTCTCTGACGCTCCCGCGGTCTCTGAGGATAGATACGGCGTGACCGTTAAGTCATAGTGTTAAAGGTTTTGTTCATAAGGGATACGCGCTGTTAATTCTTATATTAAACAGTTGTGCTCGCAGACAAGGAACGGGGTCTATCGTAAAAGTTGTGCAATCTGAGCTGCAGAAACGGCTGCCCAGAACCAGACGGCTCTTATCTGAACTTTTTGCCCTCGATGATGAGTTTTTTAGGTTCTCTGGTTTGCAGACGCTTGTTTTTGTTCTGCAGGAGGGGAGCCAAGGCGGCTGAACAATGAAAGGAAACTAATGCTTACCTCCTCTTCGTGGGTGTTCGAGCCGCGCCCACTCGTAGCTGTTTCTTAAAATGTGAGCATGCAATTTTGAGAGGTCCGCACTAGATAATCCCCAACCGTGAAAGGTTACTTTTGCTAAGTCGTCTGCCCACACCTTTGCCATTCACATCTGTTTTTCGCTTGACAGATAATGACAAATGTTTAATAGCAGATAGTTATGCCTGTTATATAAAACGTCTGTGTCATTATAGCATGTCTGATAATGATAGCGTTTTTGTCTGCGGTGTCACTCTCCGCGCCGCAACCTGAGCCAGCCATCTTGTCACCGCCCCCGATCTCACCCGGGGGAGCATTCCCTGCCACTGTGCAGCCCCCCCCCCCCTGCGGCCGCGGGGCCCGGCCCAGCTGTGACACGCCATCCGGCGAGGGCTGGGCGGCTGCAATAGCAGGCCATTATCACCCCGGATCGGCCGCCCGCAGTGCCAGCTCATCACTTCTATAATTAAATAACGATTATCGTCGTTGATCGGCCGGCGGGCGGTCGGTGCCCTACCGCCGCTGTCCGCCCGCGCCCCGCCGGCAGCGGCGGCATTGTTGCGCCAGCAGCCGTGTCATCTTCGTTCGGGCCCGAGCCCCGCCGGACAGCCCCCGGCCGAGGGGGGTCGCGGCCGGCGGCTGGCGGCCGGCGACCGGCGTGGCGCGAGCTGCGCTGATTGGACGAGCATGAGACGCCAGTTTGGCGGCGCGCCGGGACGCCCGGCACGGGCCGCGCCCGGCTCCGGCTGTGCCGCCGCCGGGCCGGGTCGGGAGCGCAGCTCGGTTCGGAGGCGTTACAGGGATGCGGTGCCAGACCAGCTCGGACCCCGGCTCGGACGCGACACGAGGATGCCGCACGAGACCAGGATCGGACCCCGGCTCGGACGCGACACGAGGATGCCGCACCCGGCTCGGACGAGACCGGGATGCCGGAGGGACCCCCGGCTCGGACGCGTCACGGGGATGCCGCACGAGACCGGGATCAAACCCCGGCTCGGACGCGACAAGAGGATGCCGCACGAGACCGGGATCGGACCCCGGCTCGGACGCGTCACAAAGATGCGACTCCGTGACCGTATCGGTGCCGTCCGTCGGCTTACGCGGGCCTGATACTGCAAGGCGTCCGGGTAAAAGGTGACGATCCGGTGCCTTGCTTCTTTTACTCGAAGAGCGCGGTGTTTCTTTTCACCCGAGGATTAAATTCGTTTTCTTGGTCGGTTTTTGTGTGGCTCAAGCGCGTGATAACGCTTAAGCAATGATTCATGACTAGGAAAGTTGGATTTGGTCCACTTTGCCAACCTTTGACTAGCTCCGCCACAAAATTTGTCATAACAGCTTGAGGCTATGACAATATCAGTTTTGTGAATCAGCTCCGAGGTGTAGACTGGTGACCGGAAAACATTTAACCACTCTGTTCGTCCAAAGAGGTCGCAACGCTCAATACAACACAATCTACTGTAATTTATCAAACGCTGTGGCTTGATTCTTTTGAAGGAGATGACCTTCCAGCTGTACGTCATTAAATAACCCCGGACCCATCGGATTGGTCTATGACCAGATCATGTAAATACCCCTAGATGGTCAGCTGAGCCAGCTGACCTAGATGGCGTGGAAATCCACTTCGCGGTGCGCGCATTACAAATTCCTGTCACTAAAATACGGTGCTAATGTTGCTTTTCAAGATGAATTGATTGGGTTTCTGGTCTCACTATGACGCACTCAGCACGACATGTCACGTAGCATGACAAATACACCCGACATTTTTATTCGCATATTTCCATACCCTTACAGCCTTTAAAGAGCAATCAATTCACTCATTACACATGCAGCCAGATGCTTCGCAAATGAACAAAAACGCCGGGCGCCCTCAGTTGGCAAACAGCCTTGACGAGCGAGCGGCGGCTGTCTGCCAGATGCATTCCGGCCCGGCAGAGGGTCTCGCTGTTGCGTCTCTGTTGTTGAGTCGACAGACGCGTGACAGGCATCGGAGGTTGGCCGGTATGACGGCCTGATGACTCCCGGTCCCGCAGGGCGGCTCCGGACGATCGCGCGCCGCGTCTTCTCCGTCCGGGCAGGTGAAGAGGCGTGCCGACCTTGAGGGTGTTAGTAGTGCATGAAAATCTTCGCGGACGCTCCGCTGATTAGGCCCTGCTTTCCGTTAGGGTCGGCGCGAGCCGTTTCCACTGACTTGAAATGCCAGATCTGTGGGAATTGGGGACGTGGAGATCCGCGGCATCGAGCGGCAGACGGCTGCGCACAAACCGGTCGCGCTGATAATGGCGCAGCCACACGCCACGTCGGTTCCGGCAGGGCAGTCTGCAGCCCAGCCGTGGGGGAAACATCATGGCCTACTGAAATCTGGTCCCAAGAACTTTTTGGCACGGTGAACTGTTTTTATATTTTGCCGATGTAACTAAGCACCGTGGCGGACGGAAACTCTGAGCATTTGGTCACGCACTTCAGAAACATTCAGTGTGTGTTCGCGTCCCTTCTCCGAGCAGTGACGCTCATCTTGCTCGCCATGGCTTGGCTGCCTCCGCTGTGAGACGGCGGCAGAGCGGCCGTCCAAGGCCCCAGATGGAGTGTGCGCAGCGCCGCTCCGGAGTGAGACGGTGGCAGAGTGGCCGTCCGAGGCCCCAGATGGAGCGTGCGCAGCGCCGCTCCGGAGTGAGACGGTGGCAGAGCGGCCGTCCGAGGCCCCAGATGGAGCGTGCGCAGCGCCGCTCCGGAGTGAGACGGTGGCAGAGCGGCCGTCCGAGGCCCCAGATGGAGTGTGCGCAGCGCCGCTCCGGAGCGAGACGGTGGCAGAGCGGCCGTCCGAGGCCCCAGATGGAGTGTGCGCAGCGCCGCTCCGGAGTATGAGACGGTGGCAGAGCGGCCGTCCGAGGCCCCAGATGGAGTGTGCGCAGCGCCGCTCCGGAGTGAGACGGTGGCAGAGCGGCCGTCCGAGGCCCCAGATGGAGTGTGCGCAGCGCCGCTCCGGAGTGAGACGGTGGCAGAGCGGCCGTCCGAGGCCCCAGATGGAGCGTGCGCAGCGCCGCTCCGGAGTACCATCTGTACCGGCCGCGTCCGGCCGCGCCCGGCCGTTTTCCCCGCGCGCGTGGCACCTGCGCAGCCATCGGAGGCTGGCGGTTAACGATGTGGCTAATCGGCGGCTAATGTTGCACATCGCGCGCCCGTAACTAGACCAAGCTGTCACGGCCGCCGCCGCCGCGTGGGGAGACGCGCCATCTGCCGGCGCCGCCGCCCCGCACTCTGTGTCAGTGGGCAACGCAGCCGGCGCCCGATGAGAACGACGCGTCCTCCGCCGCCGCGGCGCCGCTGCCGCCGTCGCGGCGGCGTCACCGGGCTGTTGCGCCGGCCGCTGCGGCCGCGCGCGGTGCCACTCTCGTTTTCACCTAGTTATTTGTGTTGATTCGACCGACCGCCGGCGGCTTTCGACGCGCGCCGTGACCCGTCGCTGTGTGACGTGGACTAGATCGACAGGCTCGACGCATTGGTCATGCACGTGTGGTGTGTTTTAACGGTGCCGCTATGTGCCTTCCTTGCGGCGTGCCCCGTACTCCATAATTATCAATGCCATTCGTCATTCTTGACGTTGACTGCCTTATTGGGCGCACAAGAGGTGACGAAAAGGAAAGCGGCGATTTGTATTCCACGCTACGGCGATGACGCTCATAACCTCGTGCTTGTTCTTTCCAGAAACTATGGACGCCCAGTACATCGTCCCGACAACGAATGCGGAGATGGTGTACTCCCATCAGACAATGTACCAGCAGTATTACCCTGCCATGGACTATCGCTGCTCCCCCGTGGACATGGGCTACTCGGTACGCGCAGACCCCTCTGGTGGCGACCTTTACGCCCGCGGCTACATGGGCCACCTGCCGCCATCCATGCTTGGCACGGCAAACTACGACTACCGACTAATGCCGGGCAAAATGTGCGAGATGCCAGCCGGGCCGCAGGAGAAGAAGGGCAAGGAGGCGCGGATACGGCGGCCCATGAACGCCTTCATGGTCTGGGCCAAGACGGAGCGCAAGCGACTCGCCGACGAGAACCCCGACCTGCACAACGCCGACCTCAGCAAGATGCTCGGTAAGTACACGCGCACAGAGCCCTTGCCGTTCGGCGCCGTGGCCGGCCGCGGCGGCCGACAGACCGCCTCTCCGCAGGCCCACGGCGCCGTCGGCCCCCGCCTGGGCGCCACCTCCCGGTGACCCAGCGACGTCGGACAATGGCGCGGAGCGGAGCGATCCGCCGCGCTGAGCCGGGCGCGCCGGCGCGCCTGTGGGAGGCGCCACCGACGCAGCCGCCGCGGCCGCTGCCTAAATGGAGACTGATTGGTCGCGTCGCTAATGGCGACGCTGATTACAAAGCAGCGGCCCTGATTTAAGTAGGGCGCCCGGTGCTTGACCTGATGTCTGGCCGGCGCGGGTGCCGGCGGAAACCTGCTGAGTAAAGCCGCAAAACGTTCTCGGCGCGCAGCTCCGCGCTGGCGGTCTCCGCGCTTGCCGCTTGCACCCGGCCCGTTCAGCGGTGGTTGTTTATTTTGCGCTCGCGACTTTCACCGCCCGAGCGATTACATCTGCAGCCGCTGCACTTTGTCTCCATTGTGCAAGCGGGCTCTTGTTGCGTGCGATTTCATTATAATGGCATTAAATTTGGTGCGAAGCGCGACAGGTCATGGGAAGCTCGACGGTGACCCGGGCCGGGTGGCACGACCCTGCCGCTGGCACCGTTAGCTTGTGAGGTCGGCACGCAGAGCTGGTTAGTGCCTCAGACGCTGCGCGCTCGTGACATTAGTAAGCAGGTCCAGCTGTGTTCTCAGACCCTTGTTGATCATGAGGTCGGTAAGGGGTTCCGAGTTGGTGCGTCACAGAGTCTAAAGGAATCCCCCCCCCCCCCCTCCATATCCGGCTCAAATCAGCTGCCAGTGTTGGCGGAGTAAAAGAGCATTTCTTATGTGCTGACAGGTCTCCGTCTGGAAAGCTTTGGTATTTTCAAGCAGCATGCCAATATCCCGACGCATATTCTCGCCAATCTGAGGAGGTGACGCTGTTTTTCACCAACCGTGATGACTTTATTCTCCTTACCCTGTAAACTCGTTGCTGAGCTCTGACCCGAAAGGGCGCTGAAGGGATGTGGGCGGGCACAATAAGGACGATGTGACCTGGTGTTGTCCGCGGGCCGCTACATTGTTTCAGCTGACTGCAGGAACAGCTGACCTTGTTAGCCGGGAGGATGCCGCCGCGGGGCACGGGGGGAGGGAGGGGCGACGGCGAACTGCCTGACCCGCTGACGTGAGCGCCTGGGTCTGCGCTGACCCGCTGGTGAGGCCTGTTGATTTGTTGTTGTCCGGTGGCCGGCGAGGGTGCGGGGCGAGATGGCGCCACCCAGATGCGCTGGCAGCGGGCAGCGGCCGGCGGGACCCTCGCCCGCCGCCTCGCCGACGAAGCGCCGGCGAAGGGTGGGAGCGTGCGCCCTTTCCCTGCGACTTGTCTTGATTATGGGAGCGAGGCCGGCGCTCTGGGTCTCCGAGGGGTGGGAGAGTGGGCGGGTTGGAGGGTGGGAGAGAGAGGCCACAGCCGCTCACGCTAACTTATTGAGAGCTAACGGGCGAACAGAGCCAGTAACCCCCAACTCAAAGCTCTCTTCAAGATTTTGGGGCCTTATGATCTGTCAAGCTACACGCTTTCCGGCTCCAATACAGTTTTCACTCCCCCAAGTTTGTGTTCGTTGGGGATAGTTCTGTCTGGGTTCTCTTACCATCTGATTCACGAACCCATTTGAAAAGGGAACACGGCTCCACATACTGATAACTACTCAGAGCCTCACGACCACCGGAGTCACGTGGTCTGCAGCTGCACTCCAGCGCAGCCTAAAGCGCCGCCGCCGCCCTCTACAGCTGGAGCAGACCCCGCTAGTTGGCGACTGGTCTTGTTTCCTCCCTATAACGACTTGATGCCTGCTTTAGCAGGCAGCGCACCGACCTCGCGCGCCGACCCCAGAAAACAGCGCAGCGAAAACCGACTCGGTCAAAACGCATGCGGTGACAGCTTCTCATTTCCTCGTACAAGTCCGGACGGGTGCAGGTGGCCGTGTTGCGTCTGGAGGGCCCGACGTGGCCCAGTTCTGTTCAAGAGCCGTGTTTCACCGGCCGCCTCACAATGAGACATGGCCCGGCAAAAAATGGGGATTAACTCCAAACATCGGAGTGGCGCCTCGTGACCCGCGCCGGGGAATGGGGCCAGCGCGCTTACGGCGCCATGGGGGTGGCTGCGTGGCCCGCGTGAGCAGGAAGCCGCCGAGCCGCACGGAGCTCGCACCGCCGCCGGGGAGGACAGCGTGCCTGCAGCCGGTTACTCTCGCTTTTGAGCGGCGGCGTGCCGTGTACCCGGCCCGGCCGCGGCCGCCGTCCCGCCGGCCGATTAAGCCGTTGTCGTCGGACTCATTACGGCTGCAACAGAAGCGAGTCCTATTAACCTGTGAACCGGTACTGCAAAAGTCCGACTCTGCCACTCAACCTGAGCCCGGCTTTCCTGCGTCATGACGGACGCCCGCGGCGTAAATCACTGAATGAGCCCGGCTCGTGCGTACTGAGCTGAGCGGGCACGATCTGCGCTCTCCGAGCAGAACGCGGCTGAGGCTGGCTGGTCAGGCTCGTCAAGACGAAAGACGCAACAGGTCGACTGAGCGCAGGCTCCTGTGCTGCGCTTAAGCTCGAAGCTGAGACGAATTAGCCTGCTGACATCATTCCGCCGATAAATCATACGGAGAGGGCAGCTGCTTTGGTCCGACTGGCATGCGCGGGGATTATCTGAGAGCCGGCTCCTGTATGGCCATGGCGCAACTGCCACTCAGTCGTACCAAGCTGCCAGGAGCGTTTGTCGACCGATCCTTCTCTATGTAGGCTGTGCTGAACTGGCGTGATGCTTCCAGCAAAATTTCGTTAACCTTGTGGTGATTTCCTGAGCAGAGATGGCATGCTTGTAAACGTTTGTGGGAATTGATTTTCATCAGGACAGCGCTGCTAGCTTTAATCCTGTCGAATGACCAGGAGTAGGGTGTGATGGCTATATTTCACCTCTCCTGGTTGTTCGAAGAGGAATAATGCTGTCTCGTCTTATGAAAGTCTTGAATGTTCCTCGCAAACGTACTTAAAAACTTACCCAACACATTTTCATATATTTTCAGGGAAATAAAATATCGCCCTCAGGTGCAGAGCATCTTCCAGCTCTATTCAATATCGGAAGCGACGTACCCCTTATAGCATCCAGGAAGACGGGGGGGGGGACCTGACCTGGGGACCTGCCCCCCTGACACCGATTGTGAAATCGTTGAAGTACACATTGGGATGAACTAATCTTTCAGTTTGATATCCTGCAAACGTGCAGCTCCTAGAAAGAACGTAGCTGCATTTTCGCTTAGTAACAGTTCCGCAAAATGCCACACAGCTTCCATTGTGACCGGCAATTTGACATTTTTAAAAATGGTGGCAGCCTTTACACACATGATATTGTTAGATATGCGACGTTGACACTTGAGTACTTTAGAACAAGCATTTTACGAGCATTATTATTCTGTGGTGATAAATGGTCAGTCCTTAGATGCATAAGCCACTAGAGCAGACACAGGTGAAATGCTCTTGTTTTTCGACACCTGCAGATGTCGTTGTACGTCGATCGCGGTGTCAGCAACAAGCATTTTGGTCGAGACGGCATCTTTCCCCACCTAAAATAGCACTACTACAGACTCACCGCGCACCAATGAAAGTGGTTGAATATTCTAGCTATCGCCAGCATTTTATGCGTCGTCAGGCTGCCTAGTAATTGCTGTACGCAAACCGTCAAAAAATCCAGAGCAGAAATAGTACTGGAATGTGGCATCCCTGAGTAAACGCCGCACTACATGTCACACAATCGTGCAGCGGGGAGCCCCGCAGGTGGACAGAATTTCCCACATCATTTTGTGTACCCATGCGTGTTTCGGGCTGCGTGTCGAGTAACATGCAACATTGAGCCGTCAAAATGTTCCGATGTCTGACATCGTTCGGGATTGTTACATACTATTGCCGTCGTGCTCAGACTCACGCGCCTGGAATGCCGATGCATGGCTGTCTGGGCATTCGTCTTTACGTCAGCCAGACTGTGGATCGAACCTCCGACCGAGCGCGTCGGCTGAGGCCAGGTCAGTACTGCCGGCGCGACTCCAGCCTGAGGGCAGGCTGGCTGCCGGCCTCAGGCGCCAGGTCAAGCTTAGGTCACGCAGGCCGGCGGTCCCAGGCTGTCAAGCTGGACGGCGGCCAAGGCATGAGACTAGGCCGATAGCAGACCGGCAGGCTGCTCCAGGCATGGAATCAGGCTGAGAACGGGCCGGCAGGCGGCTCCAGGCACGGGGCTAAGCCGAAATCATGCTGGCAGGCTGTCCCAGGCTGAGGTCCTTCTGGCAGGCTGTCCCAGGCTGGGGTCCTGTTGGCAGGCTGTCCCAGGCTGAGGTCCGGCTGGCAGGCGGTTCCAGTCCGTGGTCGCACCACCCGCCGACCCCAGGCCCCGGCGAGGCGGGCCGCTGGCTCCGGCCCCGTCTTCGCCGCCGGCGGTTTCTCCGTGACGCCGGTCCGTCTAATGACGGTCCAGGTCGGTGTTAATCGCCGGCCGTTGCACATGAGCCGTGGCGCCTGGTCCAGTTGTTCACGGGCCACCGACCGCACGCGGCCGCACGCTGGCCGCACGCGCGCCAGGAATGTCGCCACTCTCTCCGGCCGGCGCGCCCGGTGCCGCTCGGACTCATCGATGCCGCGGGTTTTCATGTTGTTCCGCTGGGGCGCCGCTATCGCGGGCCAGCCCCGGGCCATTGGGCAGCGTAACGACCGCGCCCACCGCCGCGTGCCGCCTCAAGACATGCTTGGCGGCGGCTTCGACGCTGGTGCCTTTCGAGCGGCCCGCCGGTGAGCACCTAGCTGCAGCTGACACGCGGCCCGCCCCGAACACCGTCCCCTGACTTCACAGTCAGCAGCATCGACCAGTTCACATCACGGCGCGGCGCGTATCGCCCCGTCTGCATCTTCGCAGCCCCCGTGACCTGGATTAGCCGGCGGC